TTTAAAAAGTAAGACCCCTTAATTAATATATTTTATTTTAGGTTTTATTTGAACGTAATAAATTGACAGTGCGTACTAAAAAAGTCATTGATACTATGCTCTCTAACGCTGTTAAAGATGCACTYATCCCTGATGTAGAATTTTGGCCATCATCAAAAACCTTGATTACTTTAGCAGAAGGAGACTACTTTAAACACGACAATAATGTAGTATATCCAGACAAATTAAAAACATTTTTGGGCAGTGGTAAATATTATTATTTTAAATTTTAAATGCATATTATTTTTTCATCATTAATTTTAATAATAAATGGCATCTAATTTTATTCAGAATTCACCACACTTGCATGTGTTGGAAACATACAATATTGCAAATTTGTGTTCCGAAGTTCCGATTTTGTTATAGAGCTAATTGAATTATTAAATAATTTAAATGTAAAAATATCTATTAGATCTCTACAATATTTAAATTTTTAAGCAAGATATAAGTATGTAAATTTTAATTTAATAATAATGTAATTTWAAAATTCTCATAACTCATTTAAAAGTTTAAACAAGATCCAGGATAAATCACAGATCATTTTTAGCTTTAAGATTGATATTATATCAATTCACTTATATACTAAAGCTTACTATACAAAATTATAACTGCTGAATACAAATCTGTTATGTTGTATGTTTGTAATACGTAGATTAAACATGCGAGTATAACATACTCATAATAGACATAATGATATATATAAATATATATTAATTACAATATAGAACCTATTGTGATAAATTATAACCAGGGCTCAGGACTTATAGCACTTATAATCATTAAAATAAGCGCTTAAAACAGCTCTAAGAAAACATTATTATAAGCACTCAAATAAGCATTTAAAAACTTAAATTTAAGTAAAAATATTTATCAACAAACTAAAAAATCAAACAAAATAAAAATAAATTKTAATCTTTATATTTTTAAAATAAATTAAACTTCACTTTTGAGACTTAAAGAATTTTATTGATTTTCTAAAAAATGTAACGTAAACAATATTTATAATAGTTAAAAACGTAGAAATACTGGCCAATAAACAAAAATAATAAGAAAATACTGGAAATAA